CAACACTGTAAGTCTAGAGGTTTGTAGTAGTCTTAAGTTGTAGATCCGGATGAAGCTTGGAAGACAACAAGACGCCATTAACACAGCTCCAAGGGAAGACTTGTCCACTGTATCTCACGGATAAATAATCACTGCGCCATCTGTGTTCGTCTTGATACCTCCAAAATGTTCTATGCTACTGAAGGTATATAAACACTTGTTATCTTAAAAGTAGGTTCTATTCTCGCACGGAGATATATATACAAAGGGACCAAGAAGCTCACTTCCACACCACAAGGATTCTGCAGTCTTAACTTCTATACACTGTGCGCTGCATGTACAGATGCCAGCATTCGCTGAATACATAAAAGTATATAAATATGATAATTTATATACATAACATGGTGCACAATAAATTGAATATTACATAGAATTAATACATTAGGGTGTGTCATAGGAGGGAAGATCAGCTAAAACTAATGGCCCATCACTTTTTGGTAGAGCTTAGGGTATATATAAACAAAACAATTTCCAGTTTCAATACTTGCAACCTTGCTAAGTAAATTTTAGCGTGAAATTTATCGAAAATCTAATGTACAGCTGCATTAGTGCATTACAATTAAATAGTGAACATTGCTTTCTGACTTCATTCTTTAACAACCCAACTAACAATATTTTTCTGTTTCAGATTCTGATGCATTTATAAGTTGATAATATCATAGGGATGGCTGCTTGTGTCAGGACGAGGAACCACAAATCCAGCCATCTCAGTCACTACATCTTGGGTCTGGGAGAGAGCTCCTGAAGTCGGAGTTGCTAACATTGAGAGATGCTTCGAGATACGCGTTTTAATCAGGCAAATCAGTGAAAAGAACCAAAGAATCCTACATATCAAACAAAGATATGTTGCCAGTGATATGACCAAAGCTGTCTTGGCACAATACACCCCTGGCTAACGCCTTCAGTTCAGCCTCCAGTCATAACAAGTCAGAAGAAGATTAGTGAGAGACTGCTAGCCAGTTGGGAAAAGGCAAGAGATATCTCTCTTTGGGAGAGGAAACTTGTAAAGTATGACAGCTTTGCTAAGCAACTGGACCAGTTATTTGACATAATTACTTGTAAGTGCCCAATTGTTCTCTGTCCTGAGTTTGATGCGATCGTGACTGTAAACTGAGGCCCACATCTCCTGTGGTATTTGTACGTGAACTGAAGATTCCTGTGACTGAACTGGCATTTGTCAAAGCACAAAGAGAGAAGACTGGCAGTATAGGGGCCTCATGATTTCTAGCCACATTCCGGAGTCCAAGAGACAGGAGGCTAAGCAGAGAGACAGAAGAGGAGAAGAGTTGCCGAGGAAAAGAGACTTGAGAAGGCCCAGGTGAGGTGTGCCGATGATTGAGTCAAGCTGATTCATAGAGTTTAATGACTTCCCATGGCTGATCCGAGTGCTGACCAGGAGAATGGGTGACTTTGTCCCCAACCCAGAAAATACTGATCCCAAACCTTCCAGGCATAAGATTCGAAATTGAAAGATATCCTGAGCATAGCTCTACAGCATGCGACACCACACTGGTCTCAGAGAAACGCAGAGATAGCAACAGCTGCCTGGGTTGATTTGGTGGTTTGATAACACCTGATGATGCTCCACCTGGTGATAGATCATAACAAAGTAAGGAGAGCTCAGGAGAAACTTATCAGTAACCTAGAAGAGGAGTTTGATAAAGGAAGAGAAAATGGAATCAATTGTTTGTTCTTTTGATGGGAGAAGGATGACACTAAAGTTCATGAAAGCTAGAGATCTCTGACAAGTTGTTCCCCTGCCATGGTGAAGGAGGAACACTACTCCTGCTGCAGTGAACCAGAGGGTATTTGTGGTATTTCACCCAGAGAAAGATGACATCAGGAAACCAGCTGAGATAGTGGCAGATAACATTGTGAACTGGCTCAGAGAGAGGAACGTGAGACAGACCCTGCAGGCCATTGAGGGACAGCACCAACACGAACACAGGGTGGCAAGGGGGGGGTCATACAGTGGATAGAGCGGGAAGATTGGGAGGAAGCTGGTCTGATTGCTTGTGACCTCCACACCAACGAGTTGCCACCAGACATCTGGATCCAGGAGCTGGATGGCAAGACTTCCTTTCAAACAACAGATGGTCTGGTCCTTTGGCAAGATGTTGACTCTGCCACTGAGTTAGAAATAAATCCGAGCTGTGAAAAAATCACAGTTGGCCCCACCTCGTTGAGCTTGCACATACTGTCATTGACGACCTGAGTACTGGACCAGTACCAAGGTTATATGATTTGCAGTGCCATCAAAACTGGGTCATGCCTGATAGACTTGCTTTTACCTACAGATAGGTCCAGTTCACATTCTAGGTGGCTCACAACGGCTCTCAGGTTCTGCAGAATTTGGGTCGCTCATCATAAACTGAAAGGGAACCAGCTCTCACAACCCGAGACTCTATTGTCCAATCTATCGTGAGTGTCTACTACAAATTGGTTCAACACCAAGGTCAAGTCACTGGTTCTCCGAAGGTCCGAGGCATGTTCTCTTCCAGCTTGAGCTCCTGAGGAGTCAGCCATGAAGGTTGTTCAGATTTCGAGCAGACTGTGAGGAGATCTTCTGGCATGCTCATCCCGCAGGCAGTTCTGCAGACAATGCCTGCAGTAAGGATGAGGAGGAGAGAAGAGTCGCAGTCAAAAGATCTTGATATGAGACTTAAGGAGAGTGATCTGGGCATGACGAATCAGTTGGTGACGATTCCTTCCAGGGTCAGGAAGACTCCTGAAGTCACCCAGGTGCCAAGACCCTCACTGATCTCATAGGATCTGGATAACATCCAGGCAGGCAGTGAGTCTCCCTTCTCTACCTGCAGCCTCACCAATGTTCAAGTCAGAGCTTTCCTGACAACCCCATGCATGTCCCCTGCCTGCCCTCGACACCCAGAGTAAAGCCGCTGTGTACAGCAAGTGAGCGAGGCCAGCAGTCACGTGTACAGCCAGGAGAGGGGAGGGAAGGCTAGCATCCGAGCTCAGGTGGCTGGGGCAGGGAGGTGATGAGTAGAAACAGAAGCAAGAAAGACATGTTCTCTATGGTGTGCAGCAACACTGGGTCGTAGTAGTAAAACCGGTTTTTTGTATTTGATGATTTTGTCTTAAAGGAATATTAAATTTAATAAATGTCAAGATCATTCGTTTCACTATTCTGGATCATTTTCATCCTAATAAATTAACCTGATACATTTACTTCTACTTTTAAATAAGCTATTTAGTGGTGTTGGTAAAGGGTGGGAATACTGAATTTTCATAAGATTTCAAGTTAAAATTTACCTAGCAAAAAATTAAAACTTTTCAGATCTGAAGATATCACATGATTCTGCACATAGAACTGCCACTTATTAATACCATATGGGCCGATTTTTTTCACTAAAATTCGCCTCCGTATGACACACCCTATTAATACATGTTCTGCAATACTTTACTATACATAATCAATACAGTAATATAAGAGTAATATAATAATACACAGCTTAAGGTACTACTTTGTATCCATATCATACATAAAGGTTGTAGTTGGAGACTTGAAAAGGTTTGGGTGAAGCTACTTTAGACAGTTGAAGTTCGGAAAGTAGTAAGAGGTCGGGGGAAGAGGTTAATAGATGGTGCTCCACAGAAGGAAAATTGGATCTCAGGCCGCGAATGTTGGAAAAATGAAGTGTGAAAAAAGCCTATCCTCCAGCAACCGCGGTGGAGTCAGATGAGGCCCCAATAACTTGATGATGATCATCAGGTTGGCCCTGGTGTCCACAACCTTCCCGTCCAGTGGGACCCTTCCGAGAAGGCCCCGCTTCAATATTAATATCATCTGACATAGGAGAATAAAATAGAATGAATAAAACAGATCACGAATGAGTACTGTTATATTTGTGGTGTTGTCAATAGCAAGAGAGACAGTTGAGACACTGCAATTGTGTAAATGAGGCAAAAAGATAGATGAGCAACCTGGAACTTGGTCACAATTTTCGTAATGCCATGTGTAAGCAGGGTCTACCATTAGACAATACATTATGCTTCCTGTACATGTTCTGGGTACCAAGTTCTACCTACAGGAGCGAACACAAACACCTGTAGAGTTTTTAGTAGGTTCTATTTGCTGGACAAGCAGAGATACACAAGCGAGCCGGCTCTCCCTACTCTGACTGAGGGTCAACTGAGTCCTCAGGCGACATGTGGCAAGTGATACATGTAGCAGCTTCCAGATGTCGCCAGGGAAATTAACTAAGCGTGTGGGACATGGTAAATACATTGCCACACGCTGCTAGCTATGCTGAATAAATAATGTATATAAATGGAGCACATACATAATATATATACAACATCCAGAATATACATAACAGCATACATGATATATATACACTTCCAATATCTTCCCAGGCGGTAGTATCTCCCTGTTTGGTAGCTGCCTACTACCTATTAATTACAACTTAATTCAAAAAGGGGAGAGGATCTTTTCTTCTACTTGTACAGTCAAGGAGGGAGGGAAAGAACAGGGGAGGGGACAAAGGGACAGTATTGTTTATGGTGACAAGACGACCTGGAAACTCCGCCATGAACCTAATAAAGGGCAGGAGCTTTCCAGGGCAGTGAGGAGTTTTAGATTTTATTTGTTTTCATATTTAATGACGAGTAACTAATTAAAAGTACAAAATAATCTTAACACTGGCAGCCATGAGTAGGCATAGCCGACATAGACCTAAATTTATTATTTCTTCTTAAACTTGTTGCATATTATGCAACAGTACTGACAAACCGGATCGGAAATAAAAATATTACCATCTCTTTTGAAATTAAAGTTTATCAAACACCTGAATCCATGTACTTTTTTTCTGTTTATCCTATACAGCTTATTGATCTGAAAAGCATTTTTGTATATCAGGTTATGTTTTCTTACAATTTGTTTTTTTCATTTTCTATCGAGTTCTATTTCTCGATCCTAATAGAAAGTTTTATTGATGCAGGTCAGTCGTGCTGGCGGTGGTTGTGGATGGAGAGGGATAGAGGAGTGTGTGGCGGAGTTCTTGCCGCTACATCTCTCCCAGGACACAAACAGCTCCCAGGCGGAAGTGGAACATTTCTTCCCAGACTTGCTCAGTGCTCAAGACCACCAAGATGAACCACAGACTCAGATGCAGATTGAACAGAACAAAGAGAGCAATGGAGAGTGACTTTCTGTATCTTGAGTCAAGTAATTGTGACTAGCTAGAAATCTTAAATACTTGCATGCTTAACAAGTGTGAACTGTAAGTGTAATAATAGGTCGAAGTATAATTACAGTACTTATTGAAAATGCCATCTAAGAACTTGGACAGATTAAACCTATCACTAGAGGTGATTGAGGACTGCTTATTGTGTGCATCAGTAAATTATGAATGCATTTTGTTGCACTATTTGTGTGTGTGTGTAATGCAAAAAACATTTCTTAACAATTCTATAATAAGAAGAGAAAAGATTGTTACACTTAAGCAAGCAGGTGTAGAGGAATAAAATGTTCATACCATGAACTTTCATTTTTTTTTACTTACAAATATATATTCAATTATTATACTGTACATCTACAACAAACTTTGATAAAATTTGCCAAACGTAACAACACCCACCTCTGGTTTGACATTGTTTATACTTTCTCGTATTTAAGAAATAGATTTTTAATATCAGTAAAGTCAGTGTTCTTAATTTGTTATCATTATTTTGGCTAAATTAGTGATACTAAATGAAGAATTTTCTTATCTTCAATGATTGCACACTAATTATATACAGTATACCCTGGATATCTACTTGCAATACAATGGGAGTGTAGCGCTTGTGAACGACATTTTTTTAATTATTGAGTCAACTGTGAGAACTATAAAGAAAGGTTAGGGTACTGTACCTGTACCATTAAGGGTAGTATAGCGGGAAGTGCACCAGAGTGCAAAAGTGAATTATATGCCCAGTGATCCTTGCCTAGGAAACGTACAGAAAGTGTTATGGAAGTACGCAGTCTGAAGCAGAGTACAGTGTACAGTACAAGGGAGCTAACTTCCTCGATGGGGAGGAGGCCAAATAAAATGGATAATTGGATAAAAGATTAACGACGCCCCTGTATTATCACCAGATGAATGGTTGCTCAGAGGACACGTAAACAATTCTTTTATAGTCTGAACAGTAATATTACTGAGAAATTTTCAACTATGTTTTTTTTTTTTTCCTCTTCACCACTTATCGGCTCATTAGCCGCTTGAGCGATCGGTCTCTGTTACGCACTGTTGGCAAGCACTGGGCAGTGGGCATGCACTGGCTCCTGAATGTACCTGAACCTGCTCCAGTGTTGGTCAAGTCTGATCTTGAAAGAGCTCACACTCGGTGCCGCCACAACACTCTCTGGCAGATTGTTCCTCGAGTTCACAACTCTCACTTCCAAAAAGTTTGCCCTCACAGTTTTCTAAACCTGCGGCTTCTTCAATCTCGAGCTGCGACCCCTTGTCTGGCGAGTGTCAATCAGTTCCAAGTAAGGACACTCGACTGAGTAGTGTCCCTTGAGATGCTTATACACCTCAATTAGGTTGCCCCTTGCCCGTCTGTAGTATAAGCTAGGCAAGTTCAGGTGCTCTCTAGCATATCTCGGGGACCAGATGGGGTGACAGTATTCCAGATGGGAAGCACTTCACTCTTGAAGATCGTTACGGGGGACGGACCGTCTAGATATCTGAACGACCTTCTTATAAGACCCAATAATTTATGTGCCTGATTTACCTTCTTCTCGCTCATTGTCAACATACACACCTAAGTCTTCACATTCAGTCTCAAATAATGCAGTTTCTTCATCCCTTTGGGACATATGATAATGATATGCCTCCTTACCGTTGGTACGCCCTAGGTGCATCCCCTTACACTTCGTGACATTGAATCTCAGTAGCCATTTCTTCGACCATTCTCGGAGCTCACAGAGATCCTTCCGCCCCAGCCTCTTCACAGTCCACATGGTTCTTGAATTCCCGAAATAACTTGGCGTCATCTGCAAACATTTGTATGGAAGAGTATACAACTTCAGACATGTCAATTATGAAAAAAAAAGCGGGCCCAATACACTGCTCTTTGCACCCCGCTTGTGACAGGTACAGATGATGATTTCGTGCCATTAATCACCACATACTTTCACTTGCGGTCATGTAGAAAGTCTTCTATCCACCCTAGGACATTTCCCCATTTTCCTTCCCTTCCAGTTTGATTTTCAGGTTTTCGTGGGGTACACTGTCGAAAACAGCAAATATCAAAGTATATATTCACTCGATATTACCACCCTGTTCCAAAATATGGATCCCAAATATCCAATACCTTGAGCAATTGTATTCAGCAGGAGCATCCCAGCATAAACCGTGTTGGCAATCGTTTAAGGTTGTTTCGTAGTAGATGTTCCATCGGCATCTCTGATAATACTCTCAAGTACTTTACATGTTATTATGCTGGTCAGGCTTACCGGTCTATAGTTGTTAGTGGGTGACGATCGCCCTTCTTGAAAATGGGACTCACATAAGCCACTTTCAGTACTGGGGACCTTTTGTTCATCCAGGCATTTTACAAAATAAATGGGATCTTCAGGGCTCAAACCTCGTTGCGCTCCCTTAACGCTCTGGGATGCACCATGTCAGGGCCGGGACTCTTATGGACCTTTTAGCTTTTGACAGTTTATTTCTATACCCTCTTCTGTGAACACAATGTGGGTCAGTGCTGTATCAAACCGTCTGTCCTCAAACGCAGGAAGGTTAATCGCATCCTCCTCTTGTGAACACCGACGAAAAAAGCTGTTCAATGCCTCATCTTTATCCTGGTCTGAATTTGCGTGCTACCTGCATCACTTGAAGCCTCAGGTCTGATACTCCGACTCGCGTTTTTAATTTCGACTTTGCATAGCGGTAAAACGCCTTTAGGTTTGACTTGACCTCATGCAACCAGCCTCTGGAACTCCTTTTCAGCCCTTATACACTCTCTTTTTGCTTGGTTTCTGGGTTTTTCTCTTAACTTTATCGACCGCCGCATGGTTCATGCGTACGGATCCCCTCGTATTCCTAGAGGCACTGGGTTTTAGTCTTGGGTATATAATTATTGATCAAATGGGTCATTTTACTAGGTATGATATTGGCGTAGTGTCTGCTCGTTCTTGTGCCTTAATGAGTCAGTCCAGTGGATACCCCTCATCTCTTCCCTCATCCCGTTGTAATTTCCCTTGTAATATTTTACCTTGGCCTGGCACTTATCTTAAACTAGGTAACAGTTAAATCTGAATGACAACACTATATGGTGACTGTGGTGCCAACTGGGGGCAGGTGTTCCAATTTTAAGCCACCATACCTCCATTTGTTATGATGAGTCTAGTGGCTTGAGTGTTTACTCCCCTCTGTAATGTGTCCGGTCTCTCTTACATGTTGAACAGAAAATTATCTCTCAGAGTTTCTACAAAAGAGTAGCAGGGTTATTCAAATCATTTGGGGTGAGCTCGTTTCTCCATTTGATGTCGCCATAGTTAAAGTCCCCCATGATAAGGAGGTGGCGAGGGTTGAGCATCGCTGCGTTATTAAAGGCTCTTAAGTTCCTTTGATTTAGTGGGCCACAGTTTGGGGATCTGTAGATACACCTGACAATAAGTAAGTCGCCTGGCTGGCTCTAAGGTTTTACTAGCATAGATAACCACACCCCTCTTTCAAGTTTCTTGAGAATGGTTCGTAAATGAGTCCATATCCTGCAATACTGATCTCACATTCCTCTGGGTCGATTCTCCTGTTCTTGTACAACAGTTCTACAACTCCTACAATATCGGGTTTGTGCACAGCTAATTGGTGTTTTCAGCTGCGCACCTATATCAAGGAACGTGTCAGTATTGATGTACATGACATTCAAGCCAGAATTTGTTCTCCGTAACGTCTCTGCTCTTAATAGTAACTCAGCCCCTCCATTCTCCAGAAGCTGCAGCGTTTAGTAGAAATGCACTGTATTTTTCAGGGTGTGGTTAGACAAGTCATTGTTTACACGGCGCTCCTTTCCTCCTAGCTGGTAGAAAGGAGAATGAAGAAGAATTAGAGGTGGGAAGGAAGTTATAGTTCGGAAATTGAAGAAATTTAGGAGGAGGTAAAGAGGGGCGGAGCTGACCATTAAGCTAAGCTAATAATTAATATGAGGTTGTGTCATGGGTTGGTTATTGTCTGTCGGTACGGGCACTAGACAACCTACCCTGTCCCATATATGGGTGTTTTGAGGCCTTATTTCATATTCCGCCGACCCTATGGCGGATGCTGGTCTAGGGAGGTTGTCTGTGCCTGGCCGTGTAGATCGGGGTGGTAATGGACATTTTGGGGTTCATGTAGCTTTTTTTGGGAACCATGTATGGTTGTTGTCGTTATCTGGTGGGAGTCTTTGAAAGACGTTCTTGCTCTGATCGTTCTATCCTTGCCCAGATTCTGCTGGCCAGGAGTGTGCAGCTGCTGGTTGATGAGTTTCATTCTCAGGTCTCTATGTATCTCGGCTGTGGTTCTGGTGAAGGGGTATCTTTCACCTGTGAAGAATCTTAGGACTTCATTTTGGACCACCTGTAATTTTATGTATTTGGTGGTGCTCATAGTATGAAGAGGTATTGCTGGGTAGAGATTAATATCGGTGTGATAAATGATGTCACCAGGCAGGTTTTATTTTACTCCAGGAAGCGCTTTAAGCGGTATAGATTTCTCAGCTCTCTTCTTGCATTTCCTTCCTGCTGTGGACATGATGGGAAGTAACCTGTGTCGTGGATATGTAGAGCCTTGGAAAGGAGTGCCTCTGCTTTGTATTCTATCTGGGCATTGTGGTTTTCATATGCATAGGGTATCACTGTGAATTTCGGGAGACTGGTTTGGATTTTCCATTGTTTTTCGAAATTATTTACCCTTCTAATTCCGCCTGGTGTTTTCGGCCTGTAACGCTCGCAGTTTTCCTTGATGTGTTGTTGTTATTTGAGTGATGTCATCCATACATAATATCTTCGTTACCTATTCTAGTGGGAGGCGAAGGTGTCACTTGTGTAGTTAATAATATATAGGGTGGGGAGAGGACGCTCCCCTGAAGAGGACTCCACTCATGAGTGGGAAGGTCTCTTCAAAAGAAGTTTCAAACTTGATTTTCAATGTTGGTGGGAGATCCGGTTGGAGGATCTTATATTTAGACCGTCGTGCGGAACTTTGTCAAATGCATCGCTACATCCCGGAGAGTTAGATTAGATTGTCTACCGCACTCGCCGCAGCTCAGCTATGTTTTCACATGCCAGGGGCTATAAGCTGTTGTGGTGGACATCCCTTTCCTGAACCCGGGTGTCTGCAGTTGACACTGTTTACATTTGTTTCAGGTGATTTCTCAGACGGTTATTGATGATTTTCTCTGGGGATTTTCCAGGTACTTCGAGGAGGAGATCGGTCTGTAGTTTAGAGTGGGACGGTGGGGTTCTTTCCTTGTTTTTGGGCAATAATAATGGC